GTATGGTCAGTCAGGCAGGAAATGAGGCTGGGAAAGTAGGTTACCCAGAAAAACCTGTATTGCCACAGTTGCAACATTTGTTTTTCTCAAAACATTTGTATTTACATCCACTTTTGTGCCACTTTCTTCCTACATATAACTCATTTATAATGACTTTTATGACAGGGACTGGACTTTGGGAATGGACTTTGTGAATCATCCTGGGAATTAAAAATTGGAACTGTTTTGAAAATTCTTCTCAGCCTTTTTTGTTGTTAATCCTCCTCTGAGGATATTTTCTCCACTGATTTTTAGAGAGAGTAGAAGGGAGGGAGAGAGAGAGAAACATGGATGTGAGAGAAAGATACATTGATTAGTTGCCTCCCCCATGAACCCTGACTAGGGCCAGAGACTTAGTCTGCAACTGAAGTACGTGCCCTTGCCCAGAATCAAACCCAGGACCCTTCAGTCTGTGGGCTGATGCTCCAACCACTGAGCCACACCATCTAGGACTCAGCCTTTCTTTTTGAAGACAGCAGCCTAAATAATATTCCCTTTCCTGTGTGTTCAGAGAAATATGCTGAAATTTCAACTGTTTTCAGTTTTTAAAAAATCTTTTGATCCATTTTCCCCTCTGCTTTCTTGTATTATAAATGTGGGTTATTATCAAATCCAGTTTTCCTTCTGACTTCTGTTGTAGCAGTGCATTGTTAGGAAGAAAATTGAGTCATAGCTTTACCAGAATGGACTATTTTACCATCTGTTAAGTAAATTTACCTGGTGCTTCAGTAGTGTAGTTTATGGGCTCCTGCAGGCTGGAGTTTGGTTATACTCAGGAGGTACATAGGCTAGCACAATGCTGTACATAAAGTCTGACATCAGTGAGTGTTGCTTGAGTAAATTGAATATTTCAGTAAATTGAATATTTAAGAAGACACTACAACTTAGCAAAACTAGAAAATTGCTATACCAAGTCTTCCCTACCAGACATAATAGTCTTGGGGTGGGAGTAGAGTAATGCAGTATTTTCTAATTTTGTTTAAGTTTGTTTGTTCAATGATACATAATTTCATGATTTAAAGTGATCCAGTAAAAATGACTCAAATACAGCAGAAAAGTGACTTTCAAATGCCTCAGTGTTATTTTGCCTTAGCCTGACCATTGTGTTATTCCCCTGCTTCTCTGCCCCCCAAAACCACTTTGTGGGAGTAGATTTGAGTCCTCTAAAATCTGATGTCTGTCCTGGTCTTTAACTAATGGTAACCTAAAATAGATGCACTCTGCCCTCTCTCAGGTTGTTTTGTGTCAACCCCTGGCAAGCTGGTTCTTCCTTTCTCTCTCTTGTGATGTCATTGCTGTTTTAGGATAGAAAACGCTGCAAGAATACACTATAAGTTTTGGAATTAATGGATGCTGGAAGTTGGATTTTAAAAAGAGTTTATCCTCTTTCATACTCCTTATGGAACGACTCAGGTGGAACATCATGAACTCCTCCTGTACCTCTGCAAATAGAAGGAAGTTCTTAACATTTATATAAGACAGCAGGAGCCTGGGCATGACCTCATCTCAGTCCATTAGACTATTTGAGGACAAAACAAACAAAACTTCCCCACTTATTGACAGGTAGAGTTATCCCAATCCGTTTCTCATAGCCAGTAAGAAGATGAACTGTCCTTAAATGCATTTTTAAATTGGCAAATTATACTTCCTGGTTCCTTTTTGGTCAAACAGAAATAGCTGAAAGAGAAATTATCACAATGTTTTGAGGCAGATTAAAGTTCGCATCTTCTTACAGAGGATCTGCCAGCAGTTCCATTTTGTACAAACAACAGATCCCTCATTTCTGTAGTCCCCAAGCCAATTAACAGGAGCAAAGTCCCCATATTCCTCATTCTGCTCTGTGGCAGAGCTTACAAAGAAATGAAGTACAGTTTGGTAAATTTGGTAGTGTGTGTAATGAGTCACCAATGAAGATGTGATTAACCCCAGCAGCAGAGTTATAAGCATCATATTATTAAAGTTAGTACTGATGGAGTCCAACTTGTAGACTTAACTAGAAAACTAGTGAGCTTTTCTTTTTTCAACTCAACAAATATTTATTGAGCTTCTACTCTGTACCACTCATTGTGGTAGACACTGAGGGATACAGTATTTAACAACAGAGATGTGGTCCTAGCCCTTTTAATAATGTATTAGGAGACCATTATTGACAGACTAAATACTCACAGCATGTACCAAGATTTGCATATGTGCTTGATGTTTGAAGATCTCGAGTTAGTGGAATATGAACTTGTAAATATCCTACTTCTGATATAGTTGCCTTTTGATTGAGGAAGCCTCCATGGATTATGTGGTTTCCGTGATAGGAAGAATCTAAAAATGGTCTTTATACTTTGAAAGCCGGTGTACATAGAAATCTCAGTCATAATAGTGCCTCATCCAAATATTTCATTTTATTGGTTTCAACTTTGACATGTCATCCACTAAAAAGGCCAAGACAAACCTTATAGTTCTATTTTACGACTATCCTACAATTATCATCTTTGGGCTAATAGAAACCCTAGTTTGTCATCAAAATACTGTCCTTGAAACATGACTATACCCCAGATTTGCTCTGTAGTATCACTGTGAAGAAATTTATTTAATTTGTAAGATAACCTTTCAGCTTGGACAGTATTATGTAAATATCATGTTTTTTGTCCAATGTTATTAGAATTAATTTCAATTTTTAAAAAGCAATTAGACAGTCATTTATCCATATCCTACATAGTTTGATGGACTCCCACTAAAACAAGCCTAAGACACAGGAAGTAAAATGCTAGGTTTAAGAGAAAGTAGTAAGTACTCCTAAGTGCAAGGTATTGTGTATTCCCTTCTCAGGGGGGTATCAGGGTACTCCCCAACCATTGCACCTCTGATTTTCCCAGAACCTATGCTGTTGTCTGTGGTTGGTTTGCTCTTTGTTGACACTTCCCCCTGGGAGGACGACTTCTCATTTTAGATACAGACTCTGTATCCTTTTAGGCAAGAGGGAGTCATCTTTTCAGAAGTATAGTATTGATCATGGGAAAAACCATACAGGAGACAATAGATTGGTTTTATCAAACCTATTCTATTGATCTTCACATTATTATAAATTTTTGGTCAGTAGTGACAGATTGGTAAGTGGCCAGCTTATAATTAAGTGCTTCATATTTAAAAATAGGCTCCCTGCCTCAAGACAACTTGTATGCTAAGTATAAGAAACTTAACAATCCCCAATCACCTTACAAATCTTTTATAAACCTACTTGCTACCAGCAAAGGCTGGAAAAAATGGATAGGAAGATATATATGGGTGCTCCCCAGCCAGAGTGAAACAGGTGCAGCAAGGGGCACAGCATAGCTTCAGTGCCTTGATAGTGTGCATCTGGTGGCCACACACTCTCCAAGGTACCAGGGTCTCCACTGGCATGAGCGTCCCATGATTACCACTCACATTGGATGGTTTCAGTGGGAAATAGGAAGTCCATGGGTCACCAAAACCAAACACTGCCCTCTTGTGCATGTTCTTTTTCTTCCTTATTAAAACAGAGGGTTGGACATTTAATGAATTCATTGTTATGCAGTCAAGAGACACATTTCAAAAGAAATACTGATTCTCAGTTGTTGTTTTCTGTTGTTGATACTCTTACAGATGTCCTCATATTCCCCCCTTCCTTTGCCCACCTCCACCCAGCCCCCCACCTTCTCTGGCTTAGATTTTGTTCATTTTATTTTTTTTGTCTGACAACTCCAGAAAATTGTTTGTAGTCTTCTTTTCATGTCTTCATAGAAAGACTGATGACTGAAAGGTAATACATATTAGAAGAAAACTTGCTCTATAGTTGTCACAGCAATCTCTCCTATGGTCGGCCTTCATTTAGGGCTGCACGTTACTGGACAAGTGATAGTAAACCTGTGTTGCTTTTTAAAATGTGCTTAACAACTCAGCTCCTAAATTCATTGTTACCCCTGGAACCTTTTGGTCAAGTAGTAAGTAGGGTCTAGTACAGTGATGGCGAACCTATGACACGCGTGTCAGAGGTGACACGCAAACTCATTTTTTTTGGTTGATTTTTCTTTGTAAAATGGCATTTAAATATATAAAATGAATATCAAAAATATAAATCTTTGTTTTACTATGGTTGCAAATATCAAAAAATTTCTATATGTGACACAGCCCCAGATTTAAGTTAGGGTTTTTCAAAATGCTGGCACACCGAGCTCAAAAGGTTCACCATCACTGGTCTAGTAGCTGTTAGCTTGCTGTGAGTAAATAAATTATCTATATATATAAAAGCCTAAGTGACCATCTCAACCAAACGGATGATCAAACAGGCTGCGTGGGGCGACCAGGCCGGCAGGGGACTTAGTGAGGGGCGACCGAACGACTGAGCAGCAGGCTGCATGGGGCGACTAGGCCAACAGGGGGGCAGTTAGGGGCGACCAGTCTGGCAGTGGGGGCAGTAAGGGGTGACCAGGCCAACAGGGCAGCAGTTAGGGCGACCAGGTCGGCAAGGGGGGGCAGGCAGTAAGGGGTGACCAGGCCGGCGGGGGGGGGTGGTGAAGTTAGGGGAGACCAGGCTGGTGGAGGGGGGGCAGTTGGCAACTAGGCCTGCAGAAGGGGAAGTTGGGGGTGACCAGGCCAGAAGGGGGAGGGAGGGCAGTGAGGGGCAATCAGGCATGCAGGCAGGTGAGCAGTTAGGAGCCAGTTGTCCCGGATTGTGAAAGGGATATCCTGGGGATAGGGCCTAAACTGGCAGTCGGACATCCCCTGAGGGGTCCCGGATTGAAGAGGGTGCAGGCTGGGCTGAGGGCCCCCCTCCCCCCGCATGAATTTTGTGCACCAGGCCTCTAGTTTAAACATAAAATCTTTGCAGTGAAGGACCTGGGAGATGAAAATGTTATGTTAGGGCACATTTCAGACATGGTGTCCATAATTCTCTCATGGATGGATTTTTCTTTTTTAAACATGTGAAGAAAGGCATCTTACCACCCTGATGAGAATTTGGAAGCCTTTATTTGGTGCTAGTGTCTGAAGATTATTGCCAACTTTTCTACGACAGGTTAACTGCACTGTATACATAGACTTTAACCATGTGTGATGTGTTTTGAGGGAGAAGCCCCAGAGTTTATTTAATTCTCTGCCCAGGGGAAAGGCCGTCAGTGTTGTGCTGTCTCCAAAGCAATCAAATCCCCTTTCCCAGTAGGAAACACCCATAGTGTGATGTAGCTGTGGTCTGGGCTGTCATAGGTTTCTTGTTACCGCACCTTTGCTTCCAGAAGCTCTTGTGAAATTTACCGGAGTTTGGTTAAATGATTCATTACAACTTAAAGGAAGTCTGAAACAATATTATGTCTTTGCTGAATAATGGCTGTTCCTTCGAGCCAATGAACTGAGTCAGGAAACCTGAGTTCTAGATGGTGTGACCTTGAGCAAGTCAAGTCCCCTCTCTGGCTCTTCATCTGTCAAGTTCATGTCCTCATCTGCAAAATAAAGGGGCAGATTTGGTAATGCTTCTTTCCAGTTTAAAGTTCTGTTTTTTTTAAAAAAAATTCATTTTTCTAGATCATCTTTATGTGGAGATTTTTTAGGGGGTGGGGGAGATGGGTAATGCGAAACATTTTGGTATTAAAACAAATGCATATAATATTGAATAGAATATAAAATTTACATCACGTTTTGAGACAAAGTAAGAGACATCAAAGACATTTCAAGGTAAGCTACCATGAGCTTCAGGCTCTATTCCTAAACCCTGGGAGAGGAAGGAGACCCCTGAATGCTCACTCTGATATTACGGGGACTGCTGATTTGATAGAGAAGTCTGAGAAGCAGCTTCCTGGTCTCTCTTGTTATGCTCAGCACCTTGTGAGCATCAATGGGAAGTGTGGGTTGTTCACAGGTGTTCACAGGCTTCACTCCATGTCTGTGTTCAGGAATTCTTGGGACTGTGGTCCATGGTAGAGTTTTACAGAATTGCCGGAATGTGACAGGGTTGAGGAGTTAGGTCCTGGATATATACAGAAAGCAGTCTCGCCCTAACTGGTTTGGCTCAATGGATAGAGCGTCGGCCTGGGGACTCAAGGGTCCCAGGTTCGATTCCGGTCAAGGGCATGTACCTTGGTTGCAGGCACATACCCAATAGGGAGTCTGCAGAAGGCAGCTGATCGATGTTTCTCTCTCATCGATGTTTCTGACTCTCTGTCCCTCTCCCTTCCTCTCTGTAAGAAATCAATAAAATATATTTTTAAAAAAAAAAAGAAGTCTCATCTTCCTTCCACCAAGTTACCAAGGAGACAACACAAGAGATGATGGCTCCTTCTGCTGCGACCCTCATCACACATCCCTTCCACACGATCACTCTGAGGTCCATGGTATAATTCATTGGCAGAGAATCCAAGTACTGTGGACTTTGTGACTCCATAGTAACCACCTGTCAGAAAGAGGGTATACTATCATTGTTTTTCGGTCTTATTCCTTGCCTCCTAGGTGACATCATTTCTTTGTGGCTCTGTAACTCGCTGCCTACCTCGTCAGTACCTATGCACCGAATGGTGGGGTTTCCACCGTAATGAAATGAAGAGTTCTTCCCAGATTGTCACAGGATTTTTTGCCAGTTTGTTGACCTATCCTTTTGTGCTTGTCTCTGGGTTCTTTGATTCTTTGTCAGGATCTACTCTGTGGTTTATCTAAATCCGTGTGTAATGAGCTATGTTATGGGATTCTGTTCCATTTATGAATTAGGATTCCAAAATTCAACTTCTCATATCTGAATCCTTTTATCTGTTCATAGGCTAGTACTAATTTTTCTACTTAAAAGTTTTCTTTTCACAGTCTTCCCCCCCCCCAAAAAAAAAACATTTAAGAAGCTACAAAGCCATGAAAACTTATAGCTTCATCTATAATAGAACACATTTATATTTTAGTTTTTTCTTATACTCACGTGAACCTTCCAAAAAGCTGATTTTGGGAGAGCCATTATTTAAGTCTGTAGAATTAAAAATGAACACTTATTTATAAAAAATTACATTAGTGCAGAACATCTTTTGTTCATTGTATCACTGCGTGTTTGCACAACAAATTTTTAAAGTGTAAATTTGTTGCCAAAAGGCATTAAGATAAAGAACATTTCTTTTTAAAAAATAAATTTATGCAATTCTATTTTTCTCATGCTTTGAGACAATAAGCATTATGTTTAAATAATGCTTTTTTAATTGAAAAATTAGCTGATACTTATGTAAAATATGGTAAAATGCAAAAAAATAAAAAAGAAACTTCAAATACCTCTTCATACCATCCTTTAAAGATAATCACTAACATTTTCATGTATTTATTTTCAGTCATTTTTCTATGTTAAGTACATATATCTATATATATTTAAACAAAAAGTTATACAGTTTTGTATTTAGTATTATTTATATGCTCTTTGAAAACATGATTTTTAATGATTAAATCCATTTTAAGAATGTACTATTACCACCCTAACCGGTTTGGCTCAATGGATAGAGCATCAGCCTGCAGACTGAAAGGTCCCAGGTTCAATTCCAGTCAAGGGCATGTACCTTGGTTGCGGGCACATCCCCAGTAGGGAGTGTGCAGGAGGCAGCTGATCGATGTTTCTCTCTCATCGATGTTTCTGACTCTCTGTCCCTCTCCCTTCCTCTCTGTAAAAAAAAAAAAAAAATCAATAATAAAAAGAAAGAATGTACTATTACCTAGTACCCTGCAGTTGGACATTTAAGTTGACACTGTATTTACTTCGGGTCCTAACTTCATAACAGTATGTTGCAGTTTATAGACAGATACAGGGATGGTGAAAGAGAGAAACCTATTTTGAAAAGAAGTTATAAAATTAATCAGAGGTAGGTTTCTGTAATATTGCATGACCCAATTTAGCTTTATTTTAGGTAATGTTTTTATTGTAAACTACTTAGAAAACAATGTATAAAGAAGAAACTATTTCCATTCATTAAAAAAACCACTGAAAATATTTTGGTGCATTAAATGTTTCTATATGCATCTATGTGTTTTAAACATAGTTAGAATAACTCATATATGGTTTTCTAATCTGCCTTTTTCACTGACATTTTCCTATGTCTTGAGATGTTCTTTGAAAATGTGATTTATAATGGCTCCCTCTTTCTTCTTCAAATAGACTTTACCATAATTTATTTAACCATTATTACTTTACTAGACATTTAAATTCTTCCCAGTTTTGCCTTTTTAAATAGTACTGACATGAACACCCTGGTACTTACCTTTTTTCTTAAGAGCAATGATATGTTTGGCATATTACCACCACCTCCCTCCACAAAGCTGGACTTATCCACATAAGTAATGGTGGCCTTGCGCACACACTGCTCCTCTCACCAGAACCTGCTTCTCCCCCCACCCCCTATGCCTACTGTAATCATCTTTTTGGTGAGGGAAAATCAGCTCTGTAGGTGAGAAGCAGAGTTTTATTTTTGTCCATATATAAGCTTCTGCTTCTAGTAAGGCTAAACATTTTTATACATTTATTAACCATTCATACTTCATCTTCTGTTGTTTATTCTTTTCCCTTACCCATTTTTCTCTTGTATATTCACAATTTCTTACTGAGGTGTAGATCAGCTCCTTATAGAATAAAACCATTAACTCCTTCTGTTTTACATTTGCATGTATTTGCAATTTATTTCATTTTTATTTAAATGTAGACAAATCCAGTGCTCTATTTCTGGACTGGCTCCATTACTTATTTCTCCTGATCCAGATGTTTTCTTCTAGTTTGTTTTTCTTTCAATGATTTCACTTTTACATTTAACCCTAATATATCGAGTTCATAAGGTTGGGATCTAATTGGTATTAATTTCCTGGTAGCCAATTTTCTCTTCCTCCTTAGATTTAAGATTCTTTCTGGCATATAAATTTATTTTATATGTTGGTTCTATGACCTTATCAATTCTTAAACCAAAGTTTTGACTATTATAACTTTATAATTTCATTATATTTGACAAGATAGGGACCATTTATTATTATTTCTTTTCACAATGTTCTTGTCAATTTTATCTGGTTTTCCAGGTGAACTTTAAAATTATATTGTTGACTTATACCACTCCCACTAGGAAAAAAAAGTGTTTTAATTCAGTTAAAGTACATTAAAACTAAAAATTTATCTGGGACGAAGTGACATTGTCATATTATTCACTCTTACCTAGTAATATGTTAGATGCCCCTTTATTTCTTATATCTTTTTTATACCTTTCAGATTTTTGCATGGTTTATATATATTCCTTTTAGGTATTTTTACTTCTCATTTTTCTTGCTCTCATGAATATACATATTATTTATTTTGTCGAACTGGTTATTACTTATACATGGGAAAGTTTTGATATTTTTGTGTATATAGTATCCAACCACTGATTATGTTTAGGTGTTTCAATTTATCCCTTGGTTTTCTTGATAAAGTATAATATGCAAATGATAGTTTTGTGGCCCTCCTTCCCAATTTGTTTCTTAATTCTGTTTCATGTCTTATTGTACTAGCTAGGACTTTCAGAAAAATGTTAAATTGTAGCAAGAGAAAAAGTTGTATTAGGGATAGTGAGCTCTGTTGCCTTGCTTCTGATTTAATAGGGCTGCTGCTAGAATTTTATTTTATTGTTAATATTACCAGTTACTGTTTTTCCAATATTTTATTGTGAAATTTCCATACAGTGAAGCTGAAAGAATATTTACAGTGACCACTTAGATTCTGTCATTAACATTTTACTATACTTGTTTTTTTAATTTTAATAATTTTTATTTTTCAATTACAGTTGACATATAATACTATATTAGCTTTAGGTGTACAACATAGTGATTAGACATTTATATAATTTTCAATGTGATCTCTCTGATAAGTCTAGAACCCTACTGACCCCATACAGTTATTACAATATTGTTGACTATACTAGAGGCCCAGTGCACGGAGGGGTGGAGGGGGTCCCTCAGCCCGGCCTGCACCCTCTCCAATCCGGGACCCCATGGGGGATGTCCAACTGCCAGTTTAGGGCGATCCCACAGGACATCCCTCTCGTAATCCAGGACGCTGGCTCCTAACCACTCACCTGCCTGCCTGCCTGATCGCCTCTAACCCCTCTGCCTGCCTGCCTGCCTGATAGCCCCTAACTGCCCTCCCCTGCCGGCCTGATCACCCCTAACCACCTCTGCCTTGGCCCCTGCCAATGTGGCTTTGTCCGGAAGATGACTGGTCTATCTGGTCTAATTAGCATATTACCCTTTTATTAGTATAGATTCTCTATGCTGTACTTTACATCTCTGTAACTTTTTTAATTTTATTTTTCAGTTAGTTGACATACAGCATTATATTAGTTTCAGGTATACAACATAGTAATTAGACATTTATATAACTTATGAAGTGATCACTTCAATAGGTCTAGCACCCATCTGACACTGTACATAGTTATTACATTATTATTGACTGTGTTCCCTATGCTGTACTTTACATCCCTATGACTATTTTTATAACTGGCAATTTGTTATAACCAGTGTTTTAAACTCTGTATCTGATAGATGGCATGCCTCCATTTTGTTTAGTTCTTTTTATTGAGTTTTGGCTTTTTTTTTTTTCATTTGTGTTTGGCTGCCTGCCTGTGTTTCTTTCAATGTATTAGGTAGACCTGCTACATCTCCAGATGAGAGAAGAGGCCTTTTGTGGGTGTCCTGTGGGGCCCAGTGGTGCAGTCTCCCTAGCCAGCTTAGTTAGGTGCTCCAGGGGTGTCCCTTGTGGGTTCTGTATGCCCTTCCACTGTAGTTAGTTGAACCTGGATTGCTGTTGGCACATTAGTTGGTGGGATTGACCCTCATGCTGCCTGGCTGTGAGGGCTGACTGTTGACTACAGTGAATGAGCTGTTGTGTGGGAGTTGCTTTAGCGGGGCTCTGTTAGTGGAGCTGGTTGGATGGTGTTCTGGTGTGGTCTGAAGCCAGCCACTGGATGTGTCGGCTGTGGAGCCTCCTTGGAGAGGCTTCGGTACAGGTCAAAGTTAGTCTCTGCTTGTGCCTGGCTTAGGGCTGGCTGTGTGTTAGGAGCTGCAACGTTATCTGCCACTTAAGCTGGGCTTG